TTTTAAGACTGAAGAGGCTGCACTGCAGCAAACAATTTACAAGGGAAATCACCTCTAATGGTTGTTACTTGTCACTCCAAAGCAAGATGTGAGCATTGGAAGAATATAGCAGTGAATAGTTAGGAATGTAAAGTGAAAATATAGAACTAGAAGGTTGACCGGTTGAGAGAGGCAGTTTTATTCATTTTTACTGAAATAAAAGTCAATTTCTTAACAAATTTGAGTGTATATAATCATTATTTATGCTACTGTCTTGAAGTGACAGCTCACTGATCAAAATAGTGGGACCATATGGGCCGAGTTTCAGTTGCTTGCTACTGATCATCAGGCAGCCAGTAGTCTGGCCAGGGATTTATTATAAATCCCTGTTACATGTACATGTTATGACTTGTCCTGTTACATGTACCGTGTACATGTAACATTGAAGTGTGCTGATTATTTTTCATTTTCTCTTTCTCAGTTAGAGTGTATCATGCTGCATGTGTTTCTTGATGTCTGATGTGGGCGGGTAACAATGAATATAATTAACTGATCACAAGATGTCATTAGAGGACAAGTGTTGGACTGTGTGTTTAAGGATAGACAACATAAAGAAGCTCTTCGATTACTACCATTAGTAAAGGAACCAAATAAAATTAAAAGAAAATGTATACTAGTATGGGATAATACAAGTTTACTTCATTTGTCTTCAAGGCATGGCTGGTTAGATGTTACAAAAGATCTCATCACTAAATATCACTGTGACCCACAGGAAAAAGATAGTGAAGGTCAGAATTGTCTTCATTATTCTGCAGTAGGTAATTATGTTGATGTGATGAGATATCTCATTGATGAGAGTCACTGTGATCCAATGGATACTGATAAATATAAAAATACTGTTCTTCACAGGGCAGCTGCTTATTGATCACTTGATGCCATGAAGTACTTGATCAATCATCATCACTGTGATCCAATGGCTACTAACAATGTTGGTGAGACTGTTCTTCATGTAGCAGCTGCTAAGTACAACACACCTGATGTAATCAAATATCTAATCAATGAGTGTAACTGTGATCCAATGACTATTGACAAGAAGGGGCGGACACCACTTCACTGGGCTGCTTATTGGGGTCGTTTTGTAGCTGTTGAATGTTTACTATCAACTGGTAAATGTGATCCATTGGCTAAAGACAATAAGGGCAGAACACCATTACAACTAGCTAAAGAGGCAAAGCAGAAAGACTGGGGTAATACTCTTCCTATCTTCAAGAGGTTTGATGATATAAAATCATCTCATCCAATTAATTCTTTTGTCAACATCCTCCTTGTGGGTAATCCTGGAGCTGGTAAAAGTACTCTTAGTCATGTCATCAATGATACAGCTAGTTTTACTCTTCTTAGTTCCTTTAGAAATGCTGGAGGGGTAGTGCCCTGTACTGCTGGTATCATTCCTTATAAACTACAACACAGGACACTGGGTAACATCATTCTTCATGATTTTGCTGGTCATTCTGAATACTACTCCAGTCACAGTGCTGTCATTGAGAATCTATTACAAGGTTCTGGTGGTGTGTTCCTCATAGTAGTCAATATATTGGAGAAGGAAATAGTCAAACAGCTTCATCAGTGGCTAACAGTTGTCAGAAATGAAGCACACAAAGCTCTTAATCAATGCCATGTTATTGTAATAGTCAGTCATGTGGATGAGATAAGTAATCCTGTTGAATGGAGGAGAAAGGAAGAAATACAGGAGATTATTGTAAGGGAAAGGTGTGATAGTGTCTTCTTAGATTGTCGTAAGCTTGGTGGGAGTGGTGTGGATTCCTTCTTCAAAAAGTTGTCCAGTGCCTGTGAGTCCATTCGTAGTACAAGTGGAAGGAATTTGAGTCTTTATTGTCACATGATGTATGGTCTACTGGAGGAAAGGAAAGAGAATATACTGACCCTCTCTGATGTAATGTCTGCTACTGAGGACAATAATGATTATAATTTATCAGATAAGAGAGAAGACGTCTTAGATGCTCTTCAGTCGTTGCACTCAACTGGTTTGATCAGTGTTCTTAAAAGTGAAGACAAGGTATGGGTTGTTGTGAATAAGGGGTATACTACTAACTGA